CCCACTTTACCTGACCATCCTCTCCCCTCTCAACTTTCCCTTGCTCTCCCCTCCCCCTTCTTCTTCCTTCTCCCCTCTCCTCTCCCCTGACCCTGCGCGCCCCTCACCAGTCTTCCTCCCCTCCTCCCAGTCTCATCCTCCGAGGAGTCTGTCTTCTTCCCTCCCTCGCCCCCTCTGCCCCTCCTTCTTCTCTTCCCTCCTCCCAGCATCCTCCCCAGCCTTCCTTCCTAATCACCTCACACTTTCCTACTCCTCCATCCTCCCTTCACCACGGCATCCTCCCTATCCGACTCCCCTGCTTCACCCTCCTCAGCCCCTCTCCAACCCCCTTTCCTTCTCATGCCTGTCAGGCTGTCTACCGCACCCACCTCCCCTTCCTCACCCCCATTTTCCCTATCTCTTCTGCCCCTTTTTACCCCATCCCTGTTCTCCCTACCCTTCCTTATTTTATTTTTTTTTTCTTTGTGTTCAGTTCTTTTGGGGTCTCTGCCTAAAGCAACATTTTTACATCAGTGAAAAAGTGAAGTTACAGTGGAAGGAATTTTATGGTTACATGGTTACCTTCCCCTCAGTGCTTCCATGCCAGAGGCCTGCCTTTTCCTGCTTGAAACCACAGCAGTTGGAACACAGCTTGATATCCCCCTGGGCTGCCAGCTGTAGCTCCTAGGACTGGCTCCAGAGAAGACAGGCCTGGGGTAGCCCAAGCCTCATGGCCAGACCACTCTGGGCTTGTCGAAGCTGACACAGTCAATCACCAGGAGGAGATGGGCTTGGAAACAGCCACAGCCTAGTACTAAAATGCTATTTTTGTTTATAAATTTTTTTTTGTTTTACATATTGTTTACAGATTTGTCAACACCTGTATCGACAAAATGTATGACAGAATTACCATATATGTTGTGAAACATGTTAAAACTAGCGTCCTTTTTATCTCTTCACTCTAATATTTCCCACCAGGGATTAAGTTGAGGTGACTCTAAGTGAGTAGAAGTACAAGCAGTGATCATTTATCAAAACAAGTGAAAAAGGTTTTTTAAGGTAATGCAAAGGGAGCTACGGTTGGTGAAAGGCCGTGTGGAAGAGGAGAAAAGGGGGGAAACAACCCTGAAAAGTCCAGAGTTGATCCAAACTTTATGTCATGCTGCCAGGAGGAATGAGAAACAGCGTCTCAGGTTGATCCTGCTGTTGACTGACTCCCACTCTCTGGAGACTACTGATGGCCTAGCCCTGCCTAGAGACCTTTGGGATTGGTTGGGGTTTGGACCCCTGCATTCCTAAGGAGAGAGAGTCTTCGCTTTGATGCATCTGTCTTTGATTTCCCTTCGTATTTCCTCTGAGAAACCTTGCTTTTAGTCCTCTTATATGGGAATGGGAGGGAGAGAAAGACAAGGAATGACCAGGTAGCAGTTCTGTTCCTATACACTTTGAATTATAGGTCCTTGAGGACAATAAAACAATTGCCCATTTTCTCCTTTGAAAATGAATTCTGAAGAAACGTAGGAAACTACTTTTGGGAATCACATACAAATCCTAAGAAAGGGTGTAACTTGTATTCCTCAGTGGAGTGTCATCAGTTAAGAACTGGAAAGAATTTTATTTTCCTCATGCAAAACCTATACTTGAAATGGGAAGCAGTCCTCAGAACAGAACAAGGAAACATTGCATGGTTCAAAATCAGGAAAGGAGTGTGTCAGGGATGTGTCCTGTCTCCATACCTTTCCAATCTATATGCAGAACAGACCATTTGGGAGGCTGGGCTTTATGAGGAAGAATGTGGTATCAGGATTGGAAGAAGACTTCTCGATCACCTACATTGTGCAGATGATACAGCCTTGCTTGCTGAAACTGAGGAGGACCTGAAGTGCTTGCTGCAGAAGGTCAAGGGATATAGTCTTCAGTATGGATTGAAGTTCAGCATCAAGAAGACAAGATTCTCGGCGCCATGATAGATAAAAATTACAGCTTGCTTAGCTCCACAGTCAACACTCTTGGTACCAGCAGTCAGGAAATTAAAAGAGAATTACACTGGAAAAATCTGCTGTCCGGGACCTTTCCATTGTACTGACAAGCAACGATGTCAGTCTAGCGACTAAAGTGCACCAGATCCAGGCCATAGTCTTTGCAATTACTTGCTACACATCAGAGCTGTGCAGTGACTAAGGATTACAGAAGAAGAATTGACGCCTTTGAGTTTTGCTGGAGAAGAGTATTGAACATACCATGGACCGCCAAGAAAACAAATAGATGTGTTTTAGGGAGGGTAAAACCAAGTTTCTCTTTGGATGCTAGGACTTTGAAGTTCCATATCATAATTTGGACATGTGGCTAGAAGGGACCAGTCCTTGGAGAGGGACATCATGCTCAGAAGGGTGAAGGAACAATGCAGGAGAGGAAGACCCCCGATGAGATGGGTTGATAGAGTAACAGGGGCAATAGGGGTGTAGGTGTATAGGAGTCACATTGGCTCAGGACAGGGTACGTATGCTTCAGAGCTGTTTTACATAGGGTCGCTATGAGTTGCAGACGGCTTGATGGCACATACCAAAAACTCGTGTCTATGAATCTTTCATAGCCATATTCAGAGTTGTTAGATGCCTTGGAATGTTTTCCAGCTCCTAGCAACCCCATATTCAACAGAACCAAATACTGCCGTGGCCTGTGCCATCCTCATAGTCACTGTGTGGGAGCCCCTTGTTGCATCGGCAACTTTCCTTCTCAATGATGTCCCTCCCCAGACACTGGCCCCTCTTGATGACCTGTCGAAAGTACGTGAGACAAAACTTCACCATCTTTGCTTTTGAGGAGCATCCTCATTGTATTTCTTTCAAGACAGATTTATTCATTCTTGAGTTAGTCCATTCAGTACTCTTCACCCATACCATAATGCAAAGGAATCTGTTGCTTTGGTCTTCCTTTTTTACTGTTTAGGTTCTGAATGCATGTGAGGCAGTTTTCATGAACGATGTTTGTGAATCCAAGAAAAACTGACAACTTCAGTCTTTGTCATGCTGTTGCTTATTGATCTGTTTTTATGATTTTTGTTTTCTTTATGTTGATGTATATTCCATATCAAGGGCTATAAAATCTGACTTTTTCAGGAAATTTTTCAAATCTTCATATTCAACAAGTGAGGTTGTGACATCTAGATATCACATTGATCGGTCTTCATCTGGTCCTAATACTGTAGTCTTCTTGGAATACTCCAGCCTCTAAAATGATTTGCTTAGTATGCAATGAATAAATGTGATGAAAGGTTAGAATCCTGAGGCACACCTTTCCTGGTTTTAAGCTGTCCAGTATTCCTTTGTTCTGTTAAAAAGACAGCTTCTTGGTCTATTGTACAAGTTTTGTATGAGCACAATGAAGTGTTCTGGAATTTCCATTCTTATCCATAATTTATTGTGATTCACACAGTCAAAAGCCTTTGCATAATTAATAAAACACAGGTGAATATCTTTCTGGTATTCTGTATGTTACTATATCTCAAGAAACATCTGATGACATCAATGATTTCATTCCACGGCCTATTCTGAATCTGCCTTGACTTTCTGGCAGTTCTCGGTTGATACGTAACAGTTTTAGAATTAGCTTCAGGAAAATTAAGTGTTTGTATGTGATATTTGATAATTTCTGCATTCTGTTGGATCACCTTTCTTTGAATGAACCGAGATTTGGAGCTCTTACAGTGGTTGGTTAGGTAGCTGTCTTCCAGATTTTTGGTGTAGACAAATGAGCCTATCCAGAGCTGCATCTGTTTAATTATCTCAGTTGATATTCTGTCAATTTTTGGAGCCTTGTTGTGATATAGTGCAGCCTTCCTCCTTTATTACCATTGGTTCTTGATCGTATACTTCATGAAATGATTAAATATCAGTTCTTTTTGACACAGTAAATGTGTGTATTCTTTTCTGTGTCATTCATTTGAATAAGATATATACAACGAATAAATCATTGATGGTACAAAATTCAGTCATTCACTCTCTAGCCTCATTTATGTCACCAAGTTAATAATTTCTGACTACCAGCCTTGTTTCCAACTTTGGCATTCCAGTCACCAATTACTATTATAAATATTGGTTGCACATTTAAACCATTTCAGCCTGGAAAAGGTGGTTAAAATCCAGTTTCTTCATCTTTAGTTGTTGGTGCCTATATTTGAATAAAGTATTAACAGATCTTTCCTGTATTCAAATGGTTAGTATCCTGTCAGTCACAATATTGTACTTCAGAATGAATCTTGAAATGAATCTTTGAAAATAAAAACTATGAATGCAATACCATTCTTTTTTAGGCCTGGGATAATAGATCTTATGATTGTCTCATTCAAAGTAGCCGGTTCAATTCTTTTCAGCTCGCAAATGCCTAGAACATTGATCTTTTTGTGTTCCATTTTATTTTTTACAACTTCCAATTTTCCCAGATTCATACTTCACATTTCCACGTTCCAGTTATTGATAGTAGTTTGCAGCTATTCCTCCTCATTTTCAAATCTTTCATTTCAACTCTACCACCAACATTCTAACAGTGTTCCTCTGTTTTTCATAGGGTTTTTGAAGGCCTGTTGTTTCTGAAGTGAATGATCAGATCTTTTTCTTAGCCTATATTAATCCCGCCAAAAGGTGATTCAACAGAATCTTGAAGGTTATTTTAAAAATGGTAGAACACTAGAACAACAGAGAAATAGCAGAAACTCAAAGTTGGATCTAGAAGAGGCCACGGCACCATTCACCAATACTGGTGTCTAATGGATCTTGGCTGAAAGCAGAGAAAATCAGACGCATGTCTTTCTGACCAGTACTGGTTATGCAAAGGTATTTGTGTGGATCACAACAAGTTATACTTAATATTTAAAAAAATGGGAATCCCAGAACATTTAATAGTGTTCACATGAAACCTTTAAGAGGCTGTTGTCCAAACAGCAAGGAAACAGTTTAAAATCAAGAATGGTGTGCATCAGGACTCTATCTTACCTCCCTATTCAGTCTGTATGCTGAGCAAATAATTAGAGAAGATAGGTTTTATGAAGAAGAATGTGATACCAGGACTCATTAATAACCTGCACTGTGCAGATGGCACAACTTGCTTGCTGAAAGTGAGGAGGAATGAAGATGATTGTTGCAAAAGATCAAAGACTATAGACTTTAATATGGAAAACAGCATCATGATAGTTGGAGAAAAGATTGAAATTTTCAACAGCTTAATCTTGCTTGAATCAATGATCAAAACCTTTGGTGGTAGCAGGCACAGAAATCAAAAGACATTTTACAATGGGAAAGTCACTGTCAGCAACCTCTCCAAAGTACAGAGGAGCAATGATGTTGGTTTAAAGACCAAGATGCACCTGATCTAAGCCATGATTTTTCACTTACTTCCTCTGGAACTGGAATTTGGACTCTGAATAAGGATGACAGAAGAATTGATGTTTTTGAGTTGTGGTATTAGAAAAAAATACTGAATATTCCATGGACTGCTGAAAGAACAAATACGTTTTGGAGAAAGTGCAAACTAGGGTGCTTCTTGGAGGCAGGATGGTGAAACTTGGTCTCACATATGTAAGAGGGGCCAGTCCTTGGAAAGGGACATCATGCTTGGGAAAAGTGGAGAGTCAGAGAAAGAAATGAAGGTTCTCAACAATATTAATTGACACAGTGACTGTAACAGTGGGGTCAAGTGTATCAGAGATGATGAAGATGACACAGGATAGAGCACTGTTCTGATCCATTGCTCATAATGTTGCTATAAATTACAGTCAACAACACGTAACAGCGTATCATTCAATGTTTTGCTCACAGAATCCTTCAATATTACAACTCAAGGTGTGAGTCTTTTTCCCCCCTCCCCCCTTCATTTATATCAGCTTAAGAAATTCTGAGTGTCTTCTTCCCCTTTGGTTTTATAACCTCAGGTCTTTGCACATTTCATGATGATACTCTTCTGTGGCTACCCTTTGAAATGTTTTGTTCAGCTTCTTTGTCCTTCCATTTGCTTTAACTACTGTATATTCAAGAGCAACTTTAAGTTTCTTCTAAGACTCATTTTGGTCTTTTTTTCCTCATTATTGTCTTTAATGACCTTTTATATATATTCAGATTTAGTATTTTAAAAATAATGTGTTTATAGGGGAGCTCTGGTGGCCTAGTGGTAAGGAGCTGCAACTACAATCCCAGAGGTGCACGGTTCAAATCCACCAGATGCTCTGCTGGGGAAGGAGGGACAATCTCCTGCTGTACCAGTCAGATCTGATTTGACGGTACACACACAAAATAATAATAAAAAAAAATTTAAAAAACAAACAGAATAATAAAATAAAAAAAATAATGTGTACAGGTATATATGAAATAAATGTGGAACATACACACACCTGACTCTACTCTCTTGACTTGGAATGAGTCACTTCTCTTAGGGTATAGACTCCAGGTCAGTCTAATTTGTAACTTTTGTGTATTCTTCTACATTGTTTAATATGTTAATATATAAAATTAAGACTCAGTTTCTGTAATCAATTGTCTTGATGGTAAGTTCTTGCTGTCAGGTCACACTTGTTTCACTCCCTCTTACTTGAGGAATTATAAGTTCTATTTGTTGGTGCCTATGAGAAAAGAGTAATTCCAATGCCAAACCAGTGCTAAGCTAACATGTAGCACAAAGGAAGAAAATGGGCTTTATATGTGCCCGTTTGCCCAGCTGGGTTCTTTAAATATGCTCCGTCTCATTACTTTGTTAAAGTGCAGTGTTAGGGCTACTTAAAAGCATTTCTTTGTTACCATTTCTCCAACATCCTAACTGAAAATGTTTGTCTACCCAAGAAAAAGGCCCATCAATTATTTTCATGATGGGTTCAGAAGATAATACAGATACAAGCAAAATGATGATCTTTAATGATTGGAAAATACACTGAATTTACTACTGGGAATAGTTTTTATGCCTTTTAAATTAAAAAAAAAATTAAAGGCATCAGAAAGAATAAATTCTTCTGAGTGAGAGTATTTCTTAAGAGCTTTTTGAGAAGGAATAGACACCTTTTGCTTGTTTGTTAGGACATATTCTTTCCTTGGACACTTTATTCTGTATCATCCAGAAATCAGGCCCTGTCCTTTGGAATCTGGTATTGTCCTGATGGTAACAGAGAAGTGAATTGGACTTGTAGGAAGGGAATTTCATTTTCTATTTGTTGATAGTTTCTTTTGCGTTCCAGTCTATCATCCTTCCAGTCCACAATGCTGAACGTTGGTTGGATGAATGCTTGAGATCTGTTTTGCACCAGGACTTTGAAGGTACCATGGAGCTGTCCATTTTCAATGATGCCAGTAAGGTATTCTAGACTTTGGGGGTAGTGTAACCTCACTATAACTCAAGTGAGAGTGCTCTGAGAGAAGCCTGATCTGTCATGTCATTGTTCTTTCAGGACAAGTCTATGACTGTCATTGAAACATGGAAAATAAAGTTAGAAGATTCTGGTATCCTGGTGGTCATTGGAGGCCACGATTCTCCTTCTCCCCGAGGAGGTTGGTAAACATGCTTGTTTATTATTCAGTTGTAATTATTAATTCTGAGTATTTCTTTATAGCAATAGTGTCACATTATCTAAATCCTGATATTAAGGATCTAGGTTGAAGGCAGAGAGTACCAGAGGAATGTCTGTCTGTGTTTCATTGACTATGGGAAGGCATTTGACTGTGTGACTCACAGAAATTGTAGCTAACCTTGAGGATAGACTAACAATGAGCACCTGATTATGCTCATGAGAAACCTATACCTGGACCAGAAAGAAGTCCTCAGAACAGAGCACAGTATGGTTCAAAATCAGGAAAGGAGTGTGTCAGAGATGCATCCTGTCTCCATATTTTTTTAATCTATATACAGAACAGATCATCCATGAGGCTGGACTTTATGAGGGGGAATGTGGCTTCAGGATTGGAGGAAGACTCATCAACAACCTACATTATACACTAAGGAGGACCTGAAGTGCTTGCTGCAGGAGGTTAAGGACTGTAGTCTTCAATATGGATTTAAGCTCAACATCAAAAAAGCAAAGATTT